TGACACACCTTGATTTACCAAACATCATCCTATAAGTAGGGAGGGCGCTGTAGAGCCCTGGGTGATATAAGTGGCGTGGCGGCAACTTGAACTTCTCAGCTAAAGTTGCATAGTTATGCTACACTGTATGCACTTTGTGAACAATGGGATTGCCTCTTTTTTTATACCATCAATTGGGGCCCTGTGTAATAGTGTGTTTTAACCCTGCTACCACAACACGGTGGTGGATGAACTTGCTGTTCCTGTAGTTTTGGCTCCATGGGAGGAACTTACTGATCTTTTATTGCCATACGAACCGAGCCTTGTTTATCAATACCTTAGGTTCCCCGTTGACTGGTGGACACTTAGGATTCTTTGCCCTAGAACCCTGTTCTTGGGGGAAAGAAAGCAGTGGTGCCAGTATGGTGGGGGAAAGTGTCTTTTAACGAGATGCAGTCCCCTACAAGTTCAGTGTAACCCCTGAAATTAGGATATACACACACCATCCCTAATCAAGGGCAGAGTTACGATTGTCTGGATTAGCAGGGTGCCACTATGTATTGAGATTTCTTTGCCACTCAGCTATAGTGTCATTTACAGTGTGTTGGACCCCAAAGGAGGGACACCCTCCTGACGAAACAGTGCACCGTTGCATTTTACTCCCGCGGAAGATACATGACAATTTTGCAATTCATTGTAACGGAATATCATCGTAAAGTGGTCATTGTTCTACATCTTTGTCGTCTAGCATGGCTAACACCCAATGTTTTGTTGGACTCTCTTTCTCTTTCGCTCTGTCTCTCGCTGTTTAATAAAACAGCTGTCAGCCCTCTCTTGGTCACTACGACCCAGCAGAAGACTCAAGATGCCACTTAGTCTCTCAACACTGTGGTGCTGCATGCTGCGATGGGAGGACTGGGTTACTTTATATACAAGGCAGACGCACATTACAGCTTGTACTGACAGTGGCGCTGGCATAATTATTATGAGCTTGTTAATTAAGTCATGAGCTGTTTCAAAGCCACGATCTAACTGACTCATGACGTCGTTATACAGCATGGTTTGGTGCGATGGCTGCAGTCATGTAGTCCGCCTTGTGCTGTAGCCATACGTACACCTACTCATTGCTAGGTAGTAGGACATCATAATACCGTCGCAGTAACTATAGTAGGGCCAGGGTACTACGCTGTCGCGTGTCATGCATGCGTGTACTTTGTATGGGACTTGCATCACCCCGACGAGCAAGATATCATACATGTGTTGTGCTAAATAGCTCACTAAAGTACCGTAAGAGTGTAAGTTCACACAATGTTCTGATAGCATGTTCTCGCTTGAGAGATTGTAGTATATACCTTTTGCGGCTACTGTGTATACACACAGTAGCGCAATTGGGACAGACTTCCTTAGACACCTCACTAGCGAGTGTATGTATGCACATGCACAGGTTCTTTGTAGGTAATAGTAGTATCCCCATTTCTGAAGGACCAAGATGTTGGTTCTGCTCCTAGATGGTATAGCAGAGTCCCACTATAGGTACATGATGTAGACCACTATTATAGGCGGATGTAATGTGGAAAGTGTAATGGAAGGTAAGTACACAGTACAGTACGGCAGTAGGAGAGGGGCGTCTGCGGAATCGGAGGCTAGTCAGGTGTCCCTCGCGCGCGGTTAGGCGTCTGAAAGTAGGGCCGGGAAAAAGGGGAGAAGAGCGATGGAGGGGCGAAGAAAGTGACATGCCGGGAGAGGGAGGGAAACGGAGGTGGGCGGGGTAAATGTCGCACACCTGTCGGAGCCACACTCTCTCTTTCACTGGTGGCCACCAGCCTTTTTTGGTCATAACAAAGACCACCAGCTTCTTACTGAAACACCTCCTGAACCTGTACAAATGCATGCACAGTTGGAGGTGGAAATTAATGACCTGTAAAGCAACCAACTTGTCTCTCCAAGCTGGCAGGAGAGTTTAATGCTCTGATACAAGTGGTTGAGGTCGGGAAATCTTGAGGTATTGTCCTGAGGTTCAGGACACCTCAAGGAACTGTCCTGAAGTTCAGGACACCTCGAGGTATTGTCCTGGAGTCCAAGACACCTCGAGGAACTGTCTTGAAGTTCAGGACACCTCGAGGAACTGTCCTGAAGTTCAGGACACCTCGAAGTATTGTCCTGGAGTCCAAGACACCTCGAGGAACTGTCCTGAAGTTCAGGAAACCTCAAGGAATTGTCCTGAAGTTCAGGACACATTGAGGTATTGGTAGAGGTGTTACAATGTCCTGTTAGGAATTGGAGAGGTTTTCGGTCGGTAGTGTGTCTTTGGGTTATTGTTGTCTGTTGACGTTTGGAGGGAAGCTGTGTTCTCTTTCCTTCCCGACCCAGCTGCCAGCTGCACTCTATCAGGGCCTAAACACACTGGCATATTATTATTACACACATCACAAATACACACTATGTATTCTTGAGACCTGTAACTACATGTAGTTACAGATTTGTGCATTATTGTACATTGGGACCTTCTGAGGCACAGATTTACACCTAATAAGGATTGGTGTGTGCGTGTTGTGTTGTATCGTATGCGTAATGAAAGTGTATTTGTGAGAGGACTGGGGATTGGTGGTGGGTAGAGATTGTGTATAAATCATCGTCGTACAAGAGGCTACTGTGGCGTCTTTCACTGTAAACATTGCTTGCTGTGTGTACTAATTCTGGCTTAGTCCAGACCATACCTGTTTACTTTGGGTGCTCTCCACACCTTGATTACTGTACTACTGTGCGGCTAGTATATGAGGCTGTGGTGTGTGCTATTCCGTTGTCCACACACTTAACCAGCCACTGACACATGCGTCCAGACCCTCCACAAGTCCAAGAATTTGCATATGGTAGGCGCTGATACTTGATACATAGAATTCTGCTGATTTAAGAAGATGCCAATGGCATCCAAAGGGTTAGGACTGGTCTCCATATTATAGTCTTACTCAAATTTGTGCAGTCTGGACATACTGTATGGAACCACTCACTAGATTTGTGCAAGACCCGTTAATTAAGACCACCCAAGTGTATAGGGGTCTTGGAAATAGAAATGCTCCCCAGACCACTGCAGACCGCACACGATATGGAGACCCAGCCTTAAGGGCAACTAATAGCAAAAACAACTGCCTCACACCCGTTCAACCGTTACTTGATATACGTGGCTCCTCATGCATGTGTGGTTCACCCACCACCTTATGCCCCTCTTTTCTTACTTGCTCCCCTCATCTCTGGACCCCACTTCTTTCAATTAACCCCCCCCCCCCCATCTCTCTTCTTACCTCTCTTTCATGTCTTCTCCCCCCACTCTGTGTTCTGTCCCTCGACCGAAGAATTGACACATTTGTTGCGGCATTCCGACAGTCTTGAAGCTCTAGACAATTTGGTCAAAACTAAGCATAAGTATGTAGTTAGAATAATAGTGTACTAGCCATTTACGGTATACACACCATGTGGTGTACTGCAGTGGTCAGCATTATACTATAGCTGTGTCTACTTCCTTATGGAGCTGTGTCTTCCGTTGCATTAAGTGGGGGTTCCCACATTAATAACACATTACGTATCTACAAAGTCACACAGACAAAGGGGATAGGAGGAAGGAAGCATTAGCACATTACATGTACAAAGGCACACAGACAAAGGGGATAGGAGGAAGGAAGCAATAGCATAAGGGAGATAACTTAGCCTCTCCACAAAATTATCCTGTTTGTAGCAACCCCAACAGCTGCATACAGCACACACTGTTATAGTAGCTAGCACTAGAGCTGCACTAGAGAACATTCTAGAATGTTGTGCTGCACTAGAGAACGTTCTAGAATGTTGTGCTGCACTAGAGAACATTCTAGAATGTTGTGCTGCACTAGAGAACATTCTAGAATGTTGTGCCACAATGGTGCCACCTAACACCCAAAAGTGCAAACCTAACACCCAAAAGTGCAAGTTGGTGGATGTTGTCAATTTGTGCCGTCGTCTAGTGTTGTCACCAGCAGCAAGACAACTCATTCTATGCAGGGCACAGTTCATGTGTGTATGTAGCACAGCCAACTCTGTTTTCCTCCGAGTAATTATAGCTACAGTCAGTTTCAACCTGCATGGAAGACATAATGACACATTTGGCTGGCAAATTTCAATGGCCTGCATACTATGCTCCCACTTAATGTTCCTACACATTCCCCTTGTTTTATACACACCTCTGCTAATGGGGGGTGGTGGTGAAAGTGCTCTCTAAATGGAGTCACCGTGGTGCTCTCCGAATAGAACGAGTGCCCTAAGGGGCCGCCACATTCATTAACCAATGTGTGGCTATGCACATATACGTATGTTTTTCTGTGGGAGATGAATCGTGAATGGAGTTGTATGTATGTATGGTCATCACTGCTGTATGGCGAATGTGTATACAGCTACATACAATTGACCTCTGTCTCGTGTTTTAGACTGGGTGATTGTACTGGGTGATTGTACTGTATAGGGTGATTGTCATGCGCTCCCTTCCCTTCTAACTTATTCCCCTCCTATTCCACTCCCTCTTTCTGGGTCTATGAAGTCACCTACTCCTTCCTTTCCCTATCTCCCTCACCCCCTTTCCCTCCGACTTTATTTGCCCCTTGGCTTCCTGTCTCCCTCTCCCTCAATTGCATTCTGTGTCCATCACACACTAAAACTCACCTCCACCCTCCCTCTTAACTCCCTTCCCCTCTCCCTCTCCCTCCTTCCTTTCTGTGTCCATCACACCCACAAACTCACCTCCACCCTCTCTCTTAACTCCCTTCCCCTCCCCCTCTCCTCCTTCCTTTCTGTGTCCATCACACACTAAAACTCACCTCCACCCTCCCTCTTAACTCCCTTCCCCTCTCCCTCTCCCTCCTTCCTTTCTGTGTCCATCACACCCACAAACTCACCTCCACCCTCTCTCTTAACTCCCTTCCCCTCTCCCTCTCCCTCCTTCCTTTCGTGTGTCTATCACACCCACAAACTCACCTCCACCCTCCCTCTTAACTCCCTTCCCCTCTCCCTCTCCCTCCTTCCTTTCGGTGTCTATCACACCCACAAACTCACCTCCACCCTCCCTCTTAACTCCCTTCCCCTCTCCCTCTCCCTCCTTCCTTTCGGTGTCTAAAACTCACCTCCACCCTCTCTCCTCCCTCCAGTATGGACAGAGGGGAGTGGGTTGAGATCATAGAACCTCAGTCGAAGGATAAGATGTTTGCAAACCCCTCCACTGGGGAGATATTACTACAGCCTCCGCACGGAGCCACCGTGTAAGTCTAGGAGAAACTCCGTCTTCCAGCTCTCGTACATTAAACTACTGGTCTCCCTCTCTCCCTCCCTCCCTCTCTCTCTCTCTCTTTCGCCTTTCTTCCATTTTACCACACACTCACTGTCTTTCTCATCTTCACTCCTATCCCCTCATCCCTATTTCTTCCACACTCCACTTATTCTCCCCTCTCTAACATTGGTCATGCAGGAAGCCGGTGTCACTGAATCAGTGGTGGGAGCTCTATGACCAGGTTTGTTAGCTCAACACACACACTCTGTTTTTTGGGGTGACACCATTATCTCTTTCCGCTCTCCATCCATCCTTCCCTCCCTCCCTCTTTCACACTCTACCTCCTCCTCCCCTCCCTCCCTCCCTCCTCCCCCCTCTCACTCCTCCACTCCAGAGCTCCGATCGTAACTACTACTACAATGCTAACACAGAGGACACAGTGTGGGAGAGACCTACAGGAGATGCTGACATCATCCCTCTCTCTAAGATACAGGTACATATATATACAGTACTGTTTAGTACACACGCACACTCCCTCTAAGATACAGGTACATATATTACAGTACTGTTTAGTACACACGCACACTCCCTCTAACATACAGGTACATATATTACAGTACTGTTTAGTACACACGCACACTCCCTCTAACATACAGGTACATATATACAGTATACTGTTTAGTACACACGCACACTCCCTCTAACATACAGGTACATATATACAGTATACTGTTTAGTACACACGCACACTCCCTCTAACATACAGGTACATATATACAGTATACTGTTTAGTACACACGCACACTCCCTCTAACATACAGGTACATATATTACAGTACTGTTTAGTACACACGCACACTCCCTCTAACATACAGGTACATATATTACAGTACTGTTTAGTACACACGCACACTCCCTCTAACATACAGGTACATATATACAGTATACTGTTTAGTACACACGCACACTCCCTCTAACATACAGGTACATATATACAGTATACTGTTTAGTACACACGCACACTCCCTCTAACATACAGGTACATATATACAGTATACTGTTTAGTACACACGCACACTCCCTCTAACATACAGGTACATATATACAGTACTGTTTAATACACACGTGTGAACGTTTTTGCTAAATATGGAACAGTAGTAACTCTTGAATTGAGGTTTACCAAGTGCCTGCAGTGCTGTTTTTCCCCGTGTAACATGTGTGATGTTGCTTTGTACATACTTCCTTTGCTTTCACACGTATGTACATATATGTAGTGTATATACCTCACTTACATATTATTATGATTCACAATTTAGTGTCGATGTGTGTGATGTAAACGTTAGGTATATACATAGCTCATTCAATGAAGTCTATGTGCATTACACATTCAGTCCTCGGGCCCTTTATATTATAGTACTGTCCTTGCTGGACTCAGAGAGAACACTACAAGGCAATTGGGGTTTTTGTGTGATATTATTAGAGATCTGCACCCCTTCCTTTGTATAATTTTAGTGCATAGCTGATTCGAATCGACCAATCAGATTTGTTAGTACGAGGTTCCTGATTTCTCATATGAACCTCGTGAGCTAACAAAAGTAACATGAAAACATGATATGAAACCTTGTTTTTTCTGTTGATTTTCAACAAGTTCAACAGCATTTCATGTAAGAAATGTATCCCGCAAAACATGATCTGTACAAAATGTTGATCAAAATAACTGATATCTTGATTTTCTTTTTCCACGAGACAGTTTTCTGTGTCTGCTTTGAGCCCATCTCCCTCCTTGCCATGTATAGATAGCAGGCAGCTCACGCCCGCCACAAACCACCGCACGCAAATAAGGGGGTGGGGCTCCGCGAGCGAGTGCGCGCGACAAAGCTACTAAGTCGACGGCGAACGCCTTCGGTATAGCAGCCCGCACAGCGCCTGAATTCGCCTCTCTCTGATTGCGATGGTTCGCGCAGGTCTCCTGTCGCGTTTCTTCGGATGAGTGGCGGAGGACAGTCCCGCAGCGGGAGTAGCTAGAGTGGCGGAGCAGCGTATCCTAGCGTTCGGCGTTCAATAGTCCCGCACGAGATGACGGTCTTGCGCTCTCGTCTCTTTCTCGCATCTTTCAAATTCCCTGTGCTTGGAAACGCAGTGCGCGTATACGGAGCTGATTTGCTCTGCACTAAACATGTTATGTACTCCGTATACTCGGGACATACCGGATTTCAATGAACCCTCGAGCCATCCGCGTAGTGCCCTCGCTGCGCTCGGGACACTACAAACGCGGAGGCCCTCGGGTTCATTGAAATCCGGTATGTCCCTCGCACGTAGTACATAACATATATATACGCACACGAGACTGAAGGGAAAGTATCGTTTGTGTCTACATATGTCATAATGGGTCAATGAATGCTGTAATGTGGGTCACTGAGCATGTCTGTATAGGGCCAATGAATGGTTAGGAGCTGTATGCATGTTTACAAAAACCATGTGATGCATGTTAGAGCTACATGCATTGTTAAGACTGGTCAATGAACGTGTTATTATGGGTAGATCAAAGAAGCTGTAACTTTGGGTAAATGAATGCTTAGGAGCTAGGTACATGATGATATTAGACCATGTGATGACAAGAGAAAAAAGATGCAGCTCTGGGCAGCTGTTTCGGACTTGTTGGCCCTCATCAGCAGAGCATACCGCAACTTCTCTCTCTGGCATCACGAGCTTATAAAGGCTACCAGGAGAACAAGCCAGAATAGGTGGATTGGTGAATAGTTAATGCCGGGAATTCACTCTCTGTTGGTACGTATGTAGTTGAGCTGTTTATCAGTGTGTGCATGGTTCAGAGGGAATGGGCGTACATGCCAGTGTGTACATGGTTTAGTGGCGGAGGAGCTCCTTGGGGAATTTCCTGTGTACATCCTTCACTGTAACACTATGTGCCACTGTGTTTTTAACACACCTGGTAGAAATACTGCATGCATAAACATTATGATGTGGTATATTTAGCCAGAGCCTTTGAGCTAAATTTAGCATGTAAAGTATATACAGTATGTATATAACATCAACTTACACATCTACACATTGATTGTGACACTTTCTTTTCTAGACTTTAATATTCTTTACTACATAATATAATTTGGTTTGTTGTGTTGTTGTTCGAACTGCTGAATTCATTGTGTTGCTAAAACTCCTGCCTCGAAGAATTCTATAGTCGTTTCGCAAGTTATTTGTTTACAAGATTCGTGATAACAACGGTACTACAATTACACGACTGCAACATGTACGTATATATACTCTAACCCAGTTTATACACTGAATTATAAGTGAAATAGTATTCCTCTGATTGACCAATCAGATTTCACTAGACCCTGGCTCTAAACTGACTTATTGACACACTATTGGCGGTATATTGACATCTCTCTCTCTCTCTCTCTCTCTCTCTCTCTCACTCTCTCTCTCTCTCTCTCTCTCTCCACAGTCGACACCGGAGAGTAGCGACGATCACGACTACCAAAACCTTCCCACACAAGTACGTATGCATTACGTTGTGGTTGTATAATGGAACACGCTTTTGGCGAGTGACTGCGAACAGTTCGATTTTACGTGTGTTTGGGTGCCATGGGTACACCTTACATAAGCAGAAATTGATGTATGTATAACATAGCAACGCCTAGTATAATAGCCATATATAAATTCTTATAGACTTATGGAGGCTCTGGGCATATATGTATATATGGCCGTGGCTGGCTAAGGGTTAAAATGATGTTCAGGTATTTGCGCATTTAGGACGACGTTAAATTTTTTGTGAAAGAAGAATCACGTAGAACATCACGGTGTGTTCAGAGGCGGTGCGGGTCACAACGTATAAATAAAGAAAAATCCCGCATTAGCACAACTAGGTGGGCTCGTTCTGCTCACCAATCACAGTATTACAGGGGGATTTCCCACAAATGGGGGCACCTCTCTGATAAGGACATGTTTCATTTCCCCAAGAACAGTTACAGTGGAACCTCTGATAAGGGACCCTCCGAGATAGGGACGACCTCTCTACAAGGGATACTTGTTTCAACCCCATGCTAATACTTTAGTGTATTATTTGACCTCTGAGATAGGGATGACCTCTCTACAAGGGACACTTGTATCAACCCCATGCTAATGCTTTAGTGTATTATTTGACCTCCGAGATAGGGACGACCTCTCTACAAAGGACACTTGTTTCAACCCCATGCTAATACTTTAGTGTATTATTTGACCTCTGAGATAGGGATGACCTCTCTACAAGGGACACTTGTATCAACCCCATGCTAATGCTTTAGTGTATTATTTGACCTCTGAGATAGGGACGACCTCTCTACAAGGGACACTTGTTTCAACCCCATGCTAATACTTTAGTGACCTCTGAGATAGGGATGACCTCTCTACAAAGGACATAATCCTTGGCCCCATAGTGTCCCTTGTTAAGATGTTCACGGTGTGTTCAGAGGTTCCACTGTGTTAGAAGTAATGGCACCTCACTAATGACACTTACCTGTCCCATTAGCGTCCGGATTGGAGGGGTTCCACTGCATTATATCCATTAATTGACTTGCAAGCATCCACTTAGCAGTTAAATTGGGTGTTAATCTCTAAGTAGCTGACATTGTCACACAGGGTATGTATATTGCTTGTGTGTGAATTAACATAATGCACAGGGTTATACCCTACTGAATTGCGTATGTTGTGCCAATATTGTTCTTGTTGCACTGTACGGTGCATATGACTGTCTAATAAACAGTTTGCTGCACTGTATACTGCACTGTATCATAGTGCATTTTTATAAGAAAGTCCACAGTGAGTGAGTTTAGAACACTTTCCATACGTATGTACGTACGTGGTAGAGCACTCGCCTAGAAAGCAGAGTGTCGTGGGTTCGAATCCCACCCAGGGCAGCTCTTCTTCTTTCCTTGAAAAGAATGAGCTGTCCTTTGGTGTAGTTGGCTTGTTGGCTTTGCTTTGCCTTTCTTTATACACCTCGGCGGCTCTTTGTTGAAACATGTACACTGTATTTGTGTGAAAGAGGGATAGATGAATAGACAGACTTACCTCAATACAGCAATACACTCGTCAGTTTGTGAGCCTTAACCCTTTGGATGCCATGGGTACCTCCTTATAAATACATGTATAACATATTAACGCCTAGAATTATATAGCCCCATATAAATTCTTCTGGGTTTATGGAGGCTCTGGACATATTTGTATGTCCGTGGCTTGCTAAGAGTTAAATGTTCGGCCCCGAGGTGGTGTGGTTAATAAGAGTTTGGCTTGCTAAGGGTTAAATGTTCGGCCCCGGGGTGGTATAGTTTGGCTTGCTAATGGTTAAATGTTCGGCCCCGAGGTGGTGTGGTTAATAAGAGGTTCGTGTATCCCTGTCTGTGGCCCTGTGTAAGGTTGAGTTTCAGGTAACAGCTAGACGCTAGCTTGCCTCAATTCAGCAATATTCTTAATTCAGTTTGTGAGCCTTAAATGTTGGTAATAATGTATCCCTGTCTCTAGCCCTGTGTAAGGTTGAGTTTCAGGTAACAGCTAGATGCTAGCTTGCCTCAATACAGCAATATACTTAATTCAGTTTGTGAGCCTTAAATGTTGGTAATAATGTTTCCCTGTCTGTAAGGTTGAGTTTCATGTAACAGCTAGACGTGGGTGTATTGTTATTCATACTAGGAGGTTTCAAAGGGGAAACTAGGGTGCTCTATGCCTTCCCAAATGAAACTATTCCGGGTACTGGTGGAAATGCTTGGCATTCTCAGGACGAGTGGAGTAGTGCTATATTGTACACCCGTAGCCTGTTTATTACAGTGATACAGTCCCAGCTACGGAAGCCCCTGCTTCCCCTTTTGGCCAATTAGTAACCGCTTTACTAATGACCACCCTGGGGTGTGGTGGTTCCAGACCCAACCCCTAAATCCTTTTGCTTGCAAGGACACTTATGTAAGAGCGATTTCTTGTCTGCTTATGCAAGCGCTGCATGCTGTATTGTACACTCGTCTACTGTACATGTCCTTGTGTATTTACTGCTACATGTATTTACTGCTACATGTGTCTGTCCTGGTCACAGAATGGACATGATCCACTGACAGAAGATGAACAGAAGTCGCGGAAGTTGTCAGAAGTTTTTGCTCACAGTCCTCTAGCAATGGAGGTGGGTGTTTGCTTTGTGTGTGCACCCCTCTTTCCTTTACAACTTGCACTGACTTCTCGATTTTATTCCCTCCTTCTCTTCTTCCTCCTCTTCCTCTTCCCCCTCTCCCTCTTTGTCTCCTCCTTACCCTTCTCCTCACCTTCTCCCTAATTCTCCTCTTCCTCCCCTCAACCCAGGTTGGTGGAGGAGATGCATCATTCACCTATCCTACCAGCCACAAGCAGGACACTCCTTCTTCACCCTCTTCCAGTTAGTTAAAGCATGGGTCCAAAGGGTCAGGAATTTAGTTAAAGCAAGCGGAGCAGGGCCGAGATTCTTACGTTTTTGGAGGGAACACCATTGTTATGACACCGATTAATTTTCTATGCAAAACGAATTTTCGTGGCCTAATATGTGCAAATGCACCTGGACACATAAAACGCTAAAAATATATATACAGTCGGTATAGCAGTGCACCTCCTTGTTTTCTTGCTGCCACGCTGCAGGACATCCAGCCAACTCCTCGCTGCTGGACGGGACCAGCGACAGTCTCGGGAGCGTGGGCGTCCACTCCTCGACCACCAGGGAGAGAGCTAGGACAACACACAACGACACGGGCATGGGGTCCAGCATCAACGAGAGCCCCGGCAGTCCGAGACACCACGCCCACGAGGAGAGACACACCCCCACTTCTCTCGGCAGTCCCCACAGAGGTAAGTGGGTTTCCATTATTATCACTAAGTATGGTAGTACTTATGTAGTACATATGCCTCTTTTTTTAAATTCGAAAGATTTTTAATTTACTTACGCTGTGGAACCCCTCTAATCTGGATACAAATCTTATTACAAATTGAATGCAAAACTTTTTCCGGTGAAGTTAATACTGGAGGGGTGTCCTAATAGAGTATACTCCAACTTAACTCCTTGTTTCTTCCTTACTTCCACCTCTTTTCTTCTGGCTCTCCTTCCTTTACTTCTCCCCCTCCTCTCTTGCTCTTTCCCCTCCCTCTTCTTTCTTCTTTCTCCCTATCTCACTCCGCCATACCTCCCCCTCCTCCCTCTCTCACTCTCTCACTCCTCCATACTTCCCCCTCCTCCCTCTCTCACTCCCTCTCCCCACCACCCTAGTAGTAGTGACTCCAAACTCACCCTTCTCAGAAGAAGAAGTTTTCAAGCAGCAATCCCGGTCCCCATCATACCCCTCCTCCAACTTACGCTCACCTTATAATGACAGAGGTAATGTACATGGGTCCATAAGCACTGGCACCGATAGCTTTCTTCGCCTGGTCTTACCCCAGAGATGTATATGTATAATACATAATGGATGTGCAGGGGTGATCAAGAGCGAGAGAGAGGGTGGGTTGATAAGTGTCTTGATTGGCAAGTGAGGCCAGAATTTAGTTGATTCGTCTTATAGTATAGCTTTAGCCTTGGAACAAAGCACAGTGGAATCTCTCAATAACGCTAGTGAGAGGACTCGTCAGCCGCCCCGCCCCCCTTTTTTAGTGCAGAAAATATACTCAGAGCGATAATACGTGGTGGGTAACAATAATTGTATAATACCATAGTCCGCTGTATTACGTATGAATCCAGCCTTAAGCATGGAACTGGTGTGTCTATATACGACAGACTATATCTTTCTTGTCTATCTGCAGAAGCAGAGCTGATGAAGTCAAGGACGCTGGATCTTCCCCGCGACAAGAGAAAGGCAGCCGGCGGAGTGAGGAAGAGACTCGGGTCAAACCCAAACCCCGCCCCCTCACCCCCCACACCTCCTGCCAGGTATGTATACTCACGTCATGCTGGACGTCTCTCTCTCTCTCTCTCTCTCTCTCTCTCTCTCTCTCCCTCTCTCTCTCTCTATTATTACATTGATATTGAGTCTGTGCAAAACTAGGCTGTTGAGAACCGCGAAGGCCACTATACCCTAAAGTTCGTTCTCATGCAAGCAATACACCCAGACACACTGCGTTAAATGTGTTACGCAATCCTGAAAAAGACAAATTGCCCCTGACGAACAACCGCTCGACAGTATGGCCGAAAATACTTGTTAAAATATTAATGAATTCTTTCTCGACCTGAACACCCTATTATGCACATCCCTATGTTTTTAAAATTCGCAGGATTTTTATTTACTTGTAATGATGTATGTCTTCACTCCAGACCGGCATCTATGAAGAGGACAAAGAGCAAGAGCAAGAGCCCCGCCCATGCACCCAAGAACCCGCCCCCTCCTCCACCCATGCACAAGACTGTCAGTGTGGACACCGCCCTATCAGACAAGGTACTGTATGACGTTGGCTTGCTTCGTACCCTAGATGTGTTTTTTGACACGTGCTCTGTACATTTCATTGATCTCGTTGATTCCCACTGTCCCTGTTCCACTGTCCCTTATGTACTGACACATTCCCTTTGAACCAAGAATGTTTCAATGAGTGTGTTTTTAGACACGTGCTCTGTACATTTCATTGATGTCATTGATGCCCACTGTCCCTGTCTCCCTCCAGTCCTCCAGCCCCAGCTCTATACCAATAGCACCTCCGCTCCACCTCAAACACCCGATGGTGGGTGGGGCTATGCTGACGGCCGCTGGGACCCCCCTGGAGGCCTTCAAGGACCTGGAGACTCACCGGACGGGCTTCTTCAGGAAGAAGGTCACCATCGCCAACATGCTCGCCTGGACTAAGGTACATACAGTGGAACCTCTGAACAGTGGGACAAAGTATAAAATACAGTGGAATCTCTTAATAATGGACAGGTATTTTGTCCTTTATAGGGAGTTTGTCCTCTCTTTGGAGGTTAATAATGTAGTGAACATTAGGTGTTTCCTTTGTGCTATTGTGTCCTTTGTTTTACTGTACGCATACGCATTCCCTCGTTCTATCTGTCTCTCCGTCTTCTTCTTCTCTCTTTCCGACACCTCTCCTCCTAGTCTCTGGTCCACAGACCACGTTCCGCACACCTCCACCTGTTTTCAGAAGAGGGGGAAGAAAGGTTTCTTCTCCCTCCCTCTGCTCACTGTAGCTCCTGCTAGTGAATAGGAGGAGTAGGGTATCATGGGCTATTAGGACATGTCCTTTCTCTTTTTTCTCGCTGTATTGCATTTGCCTTGCCTTGTTGTGCAGTTTATACCCTGCGATTATTGATTATTTCTAACAAGAAGGTTTTAGATTTTTTCTCTCTCTCTCTCTCTCCCTCTCTCCCTCCCCCCGTCTCTCTCTCTCTTCCTGCAAGGACTCCATCAAGCGGCCAATGATCATAACCAGAGACAAGCAGCAGAAAAAGGAGGCAGTCGAGCTGTTTAAGAACGTCCAGCAGTATATGGGAGACAGGCAAGGGTGTGCTCTCTCCACATTTGTTTGTTCGTTCTCTAGCTAGCATTGTACTATTATATCAGCATTGCTCTCTAGCATCATAAGTTGAACTACATGTACAATATTATACTGCCATTATTATAGTTGTGATATATACTGTTGTACATAACTTAAAAACTTTCGCTGCACATAAACTGCAAATTGTGAAGATAGTAGTGAATATTCAGGTGGCAGAGCGATGAGTGGAAAAGAATGTAGTCGCCCAGTATGTACCTGGCCTTCTTAAAGTACTTGTGAAAATGGCATATTTGGCAAAGTATAGGTGAAAGTACAGTCAATTTACAACCATGCGCTCGGTTTGCCGAAGTCTATGTGTGTTTGCCACTCTAAGAGTATATCGACCTCGTGTATAGTTTCATAGAGTGCCTGACACTCTGTTTCATATCCGTGCGGTGTTTATAGGAAGACGAGAGTGAAGGAGTTGGACAAGTTGGCTCTCACGATCTGCTCCAAGTGTTGGGAGAAGAAAGGACTCCGAGACGAGCTGTACATCCAGCTCTGCAGACAAACTACCGGCAACTATAACCCGTTAGTCACTGAATACATCCTTCTCTTGTTAATCACTGTTTGTGCACCCTTTTCTCAATGGGGTTTGTGTAGGTGGCCATACTCTTCCTTTATTCCTTTATTGCTCACAAAATGATTATTCACTGGTTTTGAACACGGACCTAAGAATCTTCTGTCATGTTAACGTTTCTTCTATTCTTCTTTCTTTTCTCCTTTCTTTTCTCCTGTCTATGACTTTCCATTCCTTCCACTTTCCTCCCTCTTTACCTCCCTCTCCTCCCTCCCCTCCCTCCCTCCCTTTCCCCCTCCCTCCCCTCCCTCTCCCCCTCCTCCCTCCTCCCTCCCTCCCTTCCCTCCCTCCCTCCTCCCTCTCTCTTCCTCCCTCTCCCCCTCCCTCTCCTCCCTCCCTCTCCCCCTCCCTCCTCCTCCCTCTCCAACCACAGTAAAAGTCTAGAAAGAGGCTGGGAACTGTTTTCCATCGCTCTTGCCTTCTACCCACCAACAATAAAATTCCGATCATACCTAGAAGGGTTTCTATGGAAACGCGTGGAACCATTGCCCGAAAACAAAGGAGTGAGTTGAAATAGGGCATTCTAGTTGTCTTAAAGAAAGGGAATGTGGCCATCTGATGTGTTTGGAGAAAGCTCCCGTTTCGGTAACCATGGATCCATCGCTGACAGACTTCTGCAAACAGCCCTTATGTATATACCCTGGGTTGTCAGTATGTCGCGAAGGCTAGCAATCCGGCATTGTGTGAACGCAGCAGCTTCAGTGCAGTCCAATGCACAATGAGTGAAAATTTGTGATTTACCTCTGCCATTTTCTGTTTATCAAATTATATTTTGGACTGTCTGGAGCCTTTCACTGCTGTTTTGTGTTTACATTTGTTGCTGACTAGTTGTTGTTTGTTGTTGACTAGTGTCCAGTGGAGGTGTATGCTCAGTACTGCCACAAGAGAGTGGAGAAGATGGTTCAGTCTGGGGCAAAGAGGGGACTCAAGAAACCCTCCCTGGAGGAGGTCAATCATGCCAAGGTCAGCTGACTTACACACCAGGCCATGTGACTTCATTTTAGTGGTCATGTGATTAGTTTCATGAAAAATCAGGATAGCGCTTCATGTCACACAGTTAGAAGTGTGAATTTTTTTAATGATGCATAAACAGTGTTTTTCTTATTTGTGTATAATATTTGTGTACATATCTTTTTTACGCTCTCTTTTCTTCCTCCTCCCTCCCTCTCCCTCTCAGAGTGCTCCGTTCCATCCTCCAGTGTTTGGAGCGTCACTGGATGAGGTGATGGAGCTACAGGGAGAGACACATCCCCATCTCCCCATCCCCTGGGTGGTCACCGCGCTCTGCGACGTCATACTCGCTCTCAAGGGACCTCAGACTGAGGGAATCTTTAGGTGTGTGGTTCTCACTGGAACTCCTCTCTTTATAAGGACACCACTGAAATGAGGACTCCTCTCTTTACCAAAGAACAGTTTCTCTCTTTTAGCCCCTTAAATAAGGGCACCTCACTAATATGGACACTTTATTATGTCCCACTAGTGTCTGAATTAGGGGTGTTTTGGAAATATTTCATTGTGATTTGAGTTTTATATATCTGGCACACTCTTTGAAACCTTCCTCTTCCCCTCCCTCCTTTCTCACCCCCCGCCCTCGTCCTCTTCCTCCTCTCTCTCCCCCTCCCTCCCTCCCTCCCTCTTCCTCCCTCCCTCCCTCTTCCTCTCTCCCTCCCTTCTTCCCTCTCCCTCTCTACACACACAGAGTCCCCGGTGACATAGACGAGGTGAATGCCCTCAAACTGAAGGTGGAGAAAGGGGATATCCCAATGGAGAGTTTGAAAGACCCACACGTCCCTGCCTCCCTACTCAAACTGTGGTTCAGAGAACTGGAAGAGCCCCTCATCCCCGAGGAGTACTAGTATCCTTCAGTATACTCCTGTATAGCTCTGTATTCTCTAGTATACTGTGGTTTAGGGTGCTGTCAATACTGTGACATAGTTTTCAGGATATTTTAGCATACTGCGGCCCACGTAGCTGCTCTAGTATACTGTGACCTATGTAGCTGTGAGGATACATTTTCAAGCATACTGTGACTTAGTTGTCACGATGCTGTGAGCTACATACATAGCTATTATAGGGTACCCTGTAGTCTATGGTCTCTTATGGATGCTTGTGAGTTTTGCAGTCGTACTGCATACCCTGTAGTATTTTTGTTTGCTGGATTTGCTCAATTCCCGATTCCAAAAATATTCACGCCCCAGTGTTCTGGTGCATGGTCAATGGCCATAGTGCTATGGCTGCTATTTGAGTATTATTGAAGTGAGAAGTGAGCATAATGTGAGAATAATAATTATAGTTGAGGTGTCTGTGTTATATCCTGAGCCCTGTGGCACCAGTGAGGAGTGTATAGCCAACTGTAACCACCCGCACAACGCCGTGTCTCTGGTCGACAGTCTTCCTGAGCTCAACAAACAGGTCCTCTTCTTCCTCCTCCGCTTCCTCAAGGTCTGTCTGCCTCCCGGGTGGCCGTTTATGTCTCCATTCTGTATAGACTCATTGATATGTTGACTTTAACACTACCATCCAGCCAGAATGTTCCATTTCTCGTATTAAACACCACCACCTGTATGTCCCCATTGCTTGTCCAGATAACATTATTTGGTGGATTATTCTAAAGCAAGCAGCTTGTGTAGACATCTATAGTTTGTATGCTCATGCATTCAAAAGATTGAAACACCTAGGGTTCCTTTCATCTTTCTAGCTAGAGCAGTTTATGTAGGCATCTATAGTTTGTATGCTCATGCATTCATGACTAGCAAAAGATTGAAACACCTAGGGTTCCTTTCATCTTTCTAGCTAGAGCAGTTTATGTAGGCATCTATAGTTTGTATGCTCGTGCATTCATGACTAGCAAAAGATTTAAACACACAAAGATGTAGGGAATGGGTTATGAATGACTTTCTGTCTCGGTGTAGGCATCTTCTTGTTCCCCTTGTTTTACATGATGACATCCCTACATCTTCATAGAAATGATTTTTCCACTCTTGTAATATGCCTCTGTCTCCCCTCCAGAACTTTATAAGGCCAGAGAACATCAAGAAGACAAAGATGGGTCTAGAGAACATCTCCATGGTCTGGGCCCCCAACTTCCTCCGTTGCCCTAGCGACGACCACACCCTCATCTTCCAGAACACGAGAATGGAAATGGCATTTCTCCGTCTCCTCCTGAAACACTTGGACCTAGACAAAACTCCTCCCACTTCCTCTCCCTAGCCACGCCCTCTCGTTTTTCCTATACCATGTATAATACCTACGTTGTTTTCACAGCAGATGTGTGTTTATTATAGTGTGTGACTATTCTCTGTTGTTTGTTTTGCCTACATGTTTCCATATTAGAGTTGTTTGTGATCCTAATTATTTACAACACCTATAGCTACTTCTTTTCTGGCTTGTTGTATTATAGTAGGGCAGTTTTAATCCTTTCATGCACGTGTGTACAGGGTTAAAAAATTTGCTGTTCTGCTGTTTTATTCTGTTGGCTAGGGGTTAAATTTTTGGTTGGCATACACAAACCACACGTCATGGACTGAATAATTAGAGCTAATTTTCGACATTTTTAGCACATTTTGACAAAATGCTGTTGAATTTCTTCACATTCTGTTATATATTATAGCTGCGTATACAGCTGTGTTTACTCGTATTCGTTTGGGAAAATTACTTCCAATTGCAAGCTAAACTTCAAATGAATGTACAGTTATGATACAACAGGCAAATTTTAAAAAAAACTGAGACCGCAGTGAAAAGAATGACATAATTGCGACAATAAAATAACGGTGATGTAATCCTAAGTGAGCCCCAGTACGGTCCTGGTGTAGGGAGAAAGGATGGGGTCAACTGAAGAGCTGCAGAGGTCAATGGTGTTCTGCTCGGCGAAAAACTGGCATAGGTCCGGTTCCGTCTGAACACATGAGATGAACTGCTCGAAGGTGATGTACCATTTCGCCTCGTCTTCCCTCTGCCTTGTACCTCCTCCGCCAAACTGTCCAGAGGAGGAAGAGGAGGGTTGGAGCTGGGAGGTAGAAGGGTCGAAGAGAGAGAGCGAAGTCGAGTTTCTGTGGGTCGAGGTGTCTTGCGATGACAAAGGTGGCGTGTGCTGTGGTACCGAGTTATCGGGGTCTGGAATGGGGGAATGGGAATCTGCCTCTGGAACGGGAGACTGGGAATCGGGAAGGCCATTGGTGGGTTGTCTCAGGCTGGTGTCAATGGGAGTGGAGAGGGCCGAGTGGAAGCTGTCTTCAGGTGTGGTGTCTCCTGAACTTCTAGCTTCAGAGCTTGTCACAGTTAGACCAAGAGTGGCAATGCTGGACTCGGCTACTTGACCAGTCAGCTCTTCATTCTCGGTTGAAGACTCTGCCGCCCACGGTCCAGCTGTCCCGCCCACTTTGTCCTCCTCAGAGAACCCGCCCACTTCTCGGTCAGATGGAGGATCCGGAGTTGGCAGTTTGATGTAGGGAGATGAGATAGAGGTCACAGGGTCACTGGTAGTGAGAGGGAGAGCCACTCCACTGCCATCCTCAACAGCTGCAATGTGCTCTGATGTCTCAATTGACCCACCCTTTTCTGAGACCACACCCCCACTGTCCTTTGTCTCTCTGTTGCCTTCATCGTTTTCTCCCCCTTTCCCTTCTCCCTCATCTCCCTCTCCACCTCTCTCCTCCCCTACTTTCACTTCCCTCTCCCCCTCCTTCTCCTCTCCCTCTCCCTCCTCTTCTTCTTCTCTCTTGCCTTCATCTGTCCTACTAGCACCTCTCTCGTTACTACCATCACCAGTAGTACTGACACTCAGTGGATGAGGGAATGAAGACAAACTAGCCACCGGATGAGCAGCTTCTGTTCTGACAGCAGACGACGAAAACGAAGAACGGGAAAAAGAAGGAGAAGGTGGTGGTAGGGTGAAGGGGGAAGAGCAGGTCGGTGGAAAGGGTGACCCCTCGGGGATCGACCTGGCATTGCCTTCCCCGATTTTGAGGAGGTTCCGAGCAAATTTCCCGACGGCCTGAAAGAGTTGCTGTTCGTCTGGTGAGTCTTGCAGGAGAGTGTAGAGAGTCTTGCACAGCTGGATGTACTCGGGCTGCGTGTGTGTGTTTGAGAGAGTGTGTGTTTGAGAGAGTGAGTGTTTGAGAGAGTGAGTGAGTGAGTGTGTGAGTGTGTGTTTTTTTTGTGTTTGAGTAAGTGTGATTGAGGAGAATCATAATACATGAAGATTTTGAGGGATAGAGAGAGGAAACTGTGTGGGCTATTAGTGTAAAGTATCCACTAAGCCCATAAAGTGGCACATTCTGTTCACATCCAACCGCTGGCTGACACTACCACTCAGACATCGCAACTCACCACTTTTCACCATTAGCGTTCAACAACAGCAAACATTTGCTCTAGATTATGGATATGGCTGCCTGCAATTTTTCCCATGGCCATCTAAAATCAAGTTCTCACACAATACGTACATATGTAGTTGTTGTTACCAACAACATACGCATACTAACCATGCACTGGTGTGAGTCTATCTGAAGGCCAATGACTGAGAAAAGACTACATACACTGTACAGTGTACCTGAGTCATGCTGGGTGGACTGTAAGTAGGTCCAAGTGGTGACAGTGATGGATCCTCTGTCTTTCCTAATAGAAACACCACCGCACCTGACTTGTCCACCACTGCCAGAAACAACACACGTAACAGTATAACAGCAGTACATGAAGTGCTTACATTTATACTTCCACATAATTCTTACTTCTTCAAGTTATTTCATGCCACTAAACTGCTGCAGCTAAATTTCCCGAAGGCTACACTTAAATTTACACACAGTTGACTCACTTGGAGTTATTTGTTCCTCGTCCTCAGCTTCCACCCCCACCTCTGCCACGCCCTCCTCTCCCCCACTGACCACACCCCCAGCCACGCCCCCAGACGATGTATCGTACACCTCCAGTGCTGGCTCACTCGCATATTCTGCAGAATAACGATAATTCTTAAGCCTTGTTACGCTACGTACTGTACAGTTGCACAGTCTTGCGTAACGTAACAAGCAGATCGCTGCATTCAAGTTTACAATGTTATGGATACACAGGAATACAATATCCGCCTATCATCTGCGGAGGGGTGCGCATGCTAACGGAATCTTGCAATTATGCATAATAGCATTCACAGAGATCAGTTAGAAGAGTGTGCACCGACTGCAGAGCCGACCGTAGCTTTGAAAACAGCCTCAATTTACGAGCGAAGCAAACCTCTCTAGTTCTATTTGACCAACGGCAACGATCATAAATCACGTAGAATTGTTTAAAAGGCACGCTATATCACTTGCTTGCATATGCTCACCTAAAATTCGTTGTATTACGTAGTTTTAAACGTCGAAGAGAGTGAGGGAGAAGTGAGTGGGGAGAGAGAAAAAGGTGGGTGAGTGTGCTGTGATTCAGTCTGTGACCGGTGTTGTGTACTCACCAACTGCCTTCTTCCTGGTTGGGGGAGGGGTGGGGTTAGTGGGTGTGGTCAGACTGATGATGTGGAGACAGTAGAGCAGCTTAAGTCTCTCCTACAAGAGATACGAGTACGGTAAAACTGTGCCCCCCCCCCCTCTCTCTCTCTCTGTATTTCACTGTAATTCACCCACTGTATGCTGGCTCAACCTCAACACCTTTACTCATGCATGCACTGTATCATGCATCAGTTTCCAAAACCAACTCGTTTGTTTACTCTGCACTTTACTATAAGGATTTCTGCATTTTACTATTGCACACCTGTAGAGTGGTTCTGCTCATGACTCCAAAGAGTTGAGTGAAAGCTCCGAATGTCATCTGCCCTGTTCCCTGTGTGTCCAGCAGCTACGGACATACATTAGAGACATTCAGACAGAGAGAGAGGGAGGGCAATGTGAGGACCACTGATATCAATGGTCACTTCATTTTACTTTGGTGTATCGATGAGTTTCAAGGCAGTAAGCTCAATTCGACTCTCTTCCTCTTTGAATTCCCCCATTCAATTTGCATGGGACACAAACTGTTTCCCTCTCCTCTTCCCTCCTCTTTTCTTCCTCCCACTTTCTCCTCCCTCTTTTTCTCACCCAGTTATACCCTTACTTTTCTCTTTGTCTACCCTCTCTCGTCTCCTTTTCCTCTTCCTTCCCCCCTTATCTCTCTCCCTCCTTCTCCCCCTCCTCTCACTCTTCTCCCCCTCTCGACTCACGCGGAAGGCCCGATGAGAGATGACCTCGGCGTGCTCCCCAAACCCCCATGGAGAGAGGTATCTGAACAACATGGAGAACCTCTCCACGTCAATGGTCGGCTCCTGCTTCACGTGACTGCTGCTCACCATCATGAACTGCCTCCCTCCGCCCCAAAACAGGGCCTGCTGGTGGCCTTCCTGTGTGTTCACCCACCGTACACCAACAGATCAACTCTGTTCTTTTTTTTGGTTCTTACTTCATATATATGAATCATAGACAATGGAATATGAGAAGGGGGCCCGTTTTTTCTTGCAATACAGATATTCCTTGGTTATATATACATTTACTGATTTTCACGCTGAAAGGCTGAAGTATTATACAACTGTGACTAATATATATACACCTTATATCACATCACAGTCTTTCATACTTATGCAGTAGGTTTTAGTATAGGTAAGTGCTGGCACGGGCAGCTTCCTTCACCGGTGCCATAGAGTCCTACAGTTTAGACGAGGTCAAAACAGAAATCAGGGTTTGAGGGGTATAGCCCCTCCAAGTCAAAGGGTTTGAAACACGCCTCAAACTAGAAGTAATAGCTACTTCTGCATTAAGCTATGCAGGTGTTAGCTATAATATGTAAGCACTGGCACACAGTGTTCTTCACCGGCTTGTACCTCAGATCACTTAGGGAGAAGCGGAGGAATAAAGACTATATTTTAAAAGTGGTTCTTCCCATCCCTGTGTATAATAACAAGTGCAGTGTGAGACACGTAAGTGCCGTAGGCCTACGGTTGGTAGACGAGGTATACACTCTTCAAAACAGACAAGGTAGAACACAGTTCAAAACAGAAATGAGGGTTTGAACTATAGACCATAGCCGCCACCACTATGAAACAGACCTCAAACCAGAAGTAGAGTTGCTCCAGCTCTGGCCTGGTGAACTTTGAACCCTCCATGGTGGTTCGCAGAATGGAGCGACGCGAGGAGTCCTGGAGATGGTGACAGACCTCCAGCCTCGCTCCCATTCTCATTCTCTCAATGGTCGAGTTGGAGATGAATCCAAAACACTCGTATGACTGTTTGATGAGTTCGTGGATTGAGACCGGTGCTTGTTTCTGAGGAGAAAGGGGGGGGATGAGGGAGGGAGGGAGGGAGGGAGAGAGAGAGAGAGAGAGAGAGAGAGAGAGAGAGAGAGAGAGAGAGGGGGGGTTACGGAGAGAAAATGCACTGTAAGAGTAAGGAAATAAGTATGGGATCTATGGTAGGTGAGTTTTTCAGATAAAAGTGTGCATGTGTAAGGAGGTAGAATGGCAAAGGTAAATCCAATACACCCAGGACCGCTCTTTATTCCAAGACCCACGACACTCTACAGTCTAGATGGGGGCTCTACGAGCTACCAGCTACCAGCTGGAAGAGGTTCAAATCATCGACATAATACAACACAAATGCAGACCTAAAACCACTGTGCTAACTCTAACTCAGTATGCATAATAAAACGCACGCTTCATGTCAGTTCATAGTGCACTCATTATTGACCATGGTCCACTGTAAATACAACAATGTCCTAGTTTAGGTATTCATATCTATAGGTTACACTACACCCACAAGGTGGTTTGGTGTATACACCAAACCTCTGAGTGACGGGTACAGGAAATACGATTGGTTCTTCATAAGTTTTGAGTCACGAAATCTGTTGGTCAGCATTTTCATTGTTCTTAGCTCCTAACCCATGTTAATAACCTGTTCTTCTTATGGCGTACTATGCATTGGGTAACCAACAACAAATTTGGTGACTCAAAACTTAGTCTTATATTAAGTAACAAGGGGAAATTACACTACACAGGTCCCTTTGATTTCCAGGGCTTCTGTGGTACAGACCACTAGGTCAGGCAGGTGAATATTGAGTCAGCAGGTGAATATTGGTAGAGTGACAGAAAGTCAAGGGGCGGTTTCCTGTTTGCTTCAGATTCACCCACTTTCTGAAGTGAGCCAACTGCTGTTGCCCTCTTTTTTGCCTTTTGCTTCAGTCTTCACTAGACCCACTCTCTAGCTTGTCTGCTGCACTACTGATGGCTGCCAAACCCTCCACTGCTGCCGAGAAAGCTCTCCAGAAGATCCAGGACCAGGTCACCTGTGGGATATGTCTGGAGCCCTACAAACAGCCGAGGCTGCTCAAGTGTTTCCACGTGTATTGCGAGCAGTGCCTGCAACGTCTGGTACGTGGGGGACGAGAGGGACAGAGTCTCCCATGTCCACAATGTCGCCAGGACACTCCACTGCCAGTGGGCGGAGTCCCGGGGCTCCAAGGAGCCTTCTACATCCACTACCTCTTCGACATCCAAGATGCCCTCAAGAAAGTGAGCTCCAGCGAACAAACAATGTGCAACAAGTGCACAAACGCGAGGCAGTCGGCTTTTGTCGCACTTGTGGTTTTGCATGCCAGCGCTGCAAGGAACTCCATCAGGAATGGGAGGAATTCAAAACCCACGAGATCATTGACCTGGACACCTTGACTGGAGACGTGACCACCCTCGTTCCTCCTCTCAAGAAGACTCTGTTTTGTGCCACTCATCCGTCAAAGAAGGCAAAGCTCTACTGCGAGACGTGCGACGAGTTGATATGTCGAGACTGCATCGTTCGTGTTCATCGCGACCACCAGTACGATCTGGTGCCCGAGTCGTTTGCCAAGCAAGAGAAAGTGATCGTGGACTCTCTCAAGCCAGTGGAAGAACAGATTGCTACGTTAGAAAGAGCCGTTGAGTCGGTGGACACTCGATGTGCTGCAGTCGTAGAACAGAAGACGGCTGTGGTGGCAGAGATCCGCACTGCCATGGCACACCTGCGACAAGCTCTAGAGGCGAGGGAGACAGAGCTGGTGGGTCAAGCAGAGCAGACGGCACAGCAGAAACTGAAGACCTTGGCAGCACAGCGAGATGGTTTGAACTGCAACTGGGCCAGCTGAGGAGCTGCCAGGACTTTGTGGAGGAGAGCCGACGTACTTGCAGCCAGGGGGAGATTCTGAGGATGAAGAGTCCTCTCGTGAAACAAGTCAACGACCTGACAGGCAGCTTCAAGCCAGAGACATTGGCTCTTGCCGAGCAAGCCGACATGAAGTTTGCTCACAGTCTGCCTGAGCTGGTGAAGACTTGCCAGCAGTTTGGTAAGGTGTACTGTCATCCAGTGTGCCCTGAGAAGTGTCGAGCCTCAGGTGAAGGCATCAAGGTAGCCACGAGAGGGCAAACAGTGGCTGTCTCTGTAGAGGCTTTAGATAGGGAGGGAGAAGCCTACCTCAGACCTGTAGACAGCTTGAGGTGTGAGCTAGTTGCTAGCGATGGCAGCAGTCGAGTCAGGGGCACTGTGAAGAGAAGAAATCAGAACATCTACGACATCAGCTACCAGCCTCAGGTCACTGGAGAACATCAACTACACATTCTAATAGAAGAGCGCCCGATCTTGAACAGTCCGTTCACTGTCACCGTTCTACCCGACTTCACTGCCCCAGCCAACATCATTGGAGACCTCAAGTGTCCATGGGGTATAGCAGTCAGGGAGGGAGGGGAGGTGGTGGTAGCAGAAAACAGTGGTCACTGTATATCAGTCATCAGTCGCAATGGAGAGAAGAAATCATTTGGTACTCGTGGCTCGGGTCCTGGTCAGTTCAACAGGCCTGAAGGTGTAGCAATAGATACCAGGGGAAATATCCTTGTGGCGGATTATGGAACCATCGTATTCAGCAGTTGTCGTCCACTGGCAAACACCTCAGAACAGTTGGTACAGTGGGCAGGGACCTCTTCAGTTCCAGTATCCACGAGGTATTGCAGTTCATCCTCACACTCGCAAAGTTTATGTTGCTGACTCCATGAACCACAGAATTCAGGTTCTGAACTCCGACCTCACCTACTCCAGTAGTTTTGGTAGGAAAGGCTCTAACAATGGCGAATTCAGCTATCCTTATGATATATCTACAGACATAGATGGCAATGTGTATGTTGCCGATAGCAGCAACCACAGAATCCAGGTCTTCACGGTAGACGGACAATACTTGAGGCAGTTTGGGAAGGGAGAAGAAGAAGAGGGAGAAAAGGAGGGAGAACTAAACCAGCCGGCCAGTATCGCTATTGACTCTAGCAACCTAGTGTACGTCGGTGAATGTGGGAACAATCGCGTATCGATATTCACTGCTGTTGGAGAGTTTATCAAGTCGTTTGGAAGAGGAGGAACTGGTCCTGTGGAGTTCAGTAGTCCGTATGGACTAGCAGTAGACAAGAAAGGAACGCTGTACGTCAGTGACTGGTGGAACAATCGCGTGCAGATCTTCAACTAATTAAAACTATAAGACAACAACACCTTCATGTATAATACTTCCAGATGTAACCATGCACAAGTTATCTATTTAACCCGCAGTGAGCATGCGCAGCGAAGGTTGCGGCTGGTGTGTGTGTGTCTGTTACCACATTTTCTGCCACCACATGCAACAAGCCGGCCAAAGAACAATAATGCAACAATGGGTTAAGCGCTACACTGTTCTTCGACCGGATTCCACCTGTTTTGTTCACTGTGAATGTAGACTTTCAACACACTAGAACAGTAATTGGACTTGCATTCATGCAGTGCATTAGTCTTAGTGCACGAGGACTACGGCTCGTGCATTACATAACCTGGATCGTTATCACACCATCGGAGAGCACTAATTGGAAATGCAAAATGCACTGCATAGTGTGTTCTAAACATTTGAATGCTGCATGTCAGAGGAGGTTGGACACGGTCACGTGAATAGTACAAGAATTTCAATTAGCACGTTGAGGAATGCACGACCTTCGACGAATTGCTCGACCTATGCTTAGTTTTTTGACAAAACAGACGGAGCATTCGCTTGAAACCACACGGAGAGTTGTAAAAAGGATCAAAGTAAGGTACTGTGCATTTAGCTTAGCTCTAGGGCTCACGCTGTGAGTGTGACAGAGTTATTAGTATTCTTCACTGTATCTTGCCGAGCGGTAGGGGATCGCTGGGGATAATAGGATTTTCAGTATCTTTCTTACATATTACATCGAGTCAGTTGCAAATCCTCTCCGAATCCCGCTTGGTTTTGCTACAGCACGCAGTGTTTTTTACGCCACGCTCCGCTGCTCTACTCCTCGCTATTCTGCGCTACTCTACTCTTCGTTACCCTGCGCTACTCTACTCTACTCTACCCAAAAATCGTTGACGTTTTTTTGACGCGTACTGTATCTCCCCATACATTCTTTACGGGAAAGAAATTTCTGTGTCAGCATAAATGTCATTTACAATGACGCAATCCCTGCGCATGTCCGACCTCCTCTGGCTGCATGTGACCTCAGCCAAAGTGTGCATTAAGTGGTAAGAGGTGTGCATCAATTAGAAAAAGTGTGAGTCAACAACTTAATGTACACTTTAAAAATCTAGAACGGCGTGCATGTGACAAAATGGAAGGATGTGATTGGCTGAAGGTCACATGACCACCACTATTAATAGCTAGAGAGAAGATCAGACCTTTATCTCTTCCTCCAGCTCCACCTTGTTCTCCTGCGAGGCCTTCTTCCCCAGCTCGGCCAGAAACTCGTTCAGTTTCCCGATGGCCTCGGCCTCGTCGCTGGACGAGAGGAGAGGAGACTCTATGAACTTTAGGATCATCAGAGCCACCTGGAACAGTACCTGCATGGGGTGGTGTGGCCATGAGCGCAGCACGAGAGGGAGGTGGGCACATATTATCCAGAGCTGCTCTCTATGTGTGACTACAAATAAGGAGTCACTGTGTTCCAGCAAAAGAAAAAATGTTTCTATGCATTCTCAGCAAAATCCCCAAAATTAACTTTCTGATGCACGCAATCACGTTAACTATTTTGGTTTGGCAGCACTGTAAACACTATGTACATGTACCATAATTTGCCATTATTTGATGTGTAGGTGCTGAAAAATATGAATTGGAAATGATGGTGATGCATGTCCGAAATGAATATTTTGAAACAACCTGTTACTAGGCGACACAAGGCAGATCTCTTGCCCAGACAGTTTCCAAGAGCATTCATATTTTTTTCAATTTCTATGATCCCAAAATGCATAAGGGCAATATTTTAACGCCGCCTAGGGCTAATAATATAAGACAATGTAAATTGGAGAACAAAAAATGCAGTTTTAGGACACACACCACTCACACCTTTGCACCGTCGACAAAGAAGCAGTCGAGTATGTTGACGGCAGTGGAGCTGTCCATGACGGAGAAGAAGAGAGTGAGGAACCAGCTGAGGCTGATCATGGAGAGGATGTTGAGTCGGTGCTTCAGGAGCTGGTACAGCTCCGGGAGATGCTTCTCTGTCAGCTGCTCAAACACCACTACAGGGAGGGAGGGAGGGAGGGAGGGAGAGAGGGAGAGAGGGAGGGAGAAAGGGATGAAGGAAGGAGGGAGGGAGGGAGGGATGGAGGAGAGAGGGAGGGAGGAAGGGAGGAAGGAAGGAGAGAGGGAGGGAGGGAGAGAAGAGGACAAGGAGAGGAGGGAAAAGTGAGAAGGAGAAGGAGGGAAGGAGGAAGTCAAGTGGAAAGTGCAAAAAGATTAGTCGAAAATGTTGGGACATGATTTAGCCCCAAACTGGGCTACATGTTATTAGCCAGCATAATTCAAACAAAGACCCAGTTTTACAGATCCCTGCCCATTAAGAGAGCTTTATAATCAATCCACAGAGCAAACATTTGTGCACATGGACACTGTGTAGTGCAAACGTTTTCTGTAGTTACTTTATATTTTTTTGTGGTATAATACGTATGCACATCTACTGTAATGAATGAAAACCCTCGGTGCAAAGGCGCACACGTGATACCCATTGCAACACCCATTATGCATGTGCAGGTCGCTAATTGATGTGCTTGCCCACGCTCTCGATTAACGCAAGGCTTCTTGCTAGCTCGCTGATATTCTGACAAGGGTATCTAGAAGTAGATAGCGTTTTGGCATTGCGGGACTCGATACCCGTCCCTCCGTCGTAACTTCTGATCCCTCCACAGTGCACAACGCGAGCAGAATCTAGTCGAGGTATGCCAGTGCTACGCATATTGGCTTGTTCACTTGGTTTTCACGCCATAACTTCTGAACACAGTATTTTTACGAAAATCTCCAGTCGTAAAATCAGGCCAGTGTAATGCCGAACCTGGTGGCACAGATTTTTTGGTGATCTTTTTGCCCACAAAATGTGGGAACAGACGAACAGACCAAGTACTGTAACCCTCGCAGCAAATTCGCCGAGATTTGGTATGTAAAGCGATTTAAACTTTCCGAAAGCCTTGTGGCATGCACTTAACAGACAACAGAGTAGAGGTGGAACTATGGATGCCCAGTCTCGGGATTTTAGACCCAGGCTGAAAATTTCCTGCGCCTCCTGCTCTGCTGTGCTCCAGCTGCAGAGAGCCATCACGTTGGAAACCTTGTGTGGTATATACGTACCATTGAGAAGGTGGGGGGCAGTGCTGTACATTATTTTCTGAGAGGCACACGCGTTTTTCATTGTTTTTCGATTTTAATGACTGGTGTGGTGTTTTGTAATGCACAGCTACTCCTGGTCTCTCCATGGGCGAGCCAGCCTACAAACTGCGCGTGCTCTGCGGTAGTACGCGCACTACGCATGCGCTAAAATGCGCCGCTCTGGTTTGACGCATGCGCGCGAAGACCCGCATTAGCTAGCAGTGTGCTGCAGCGCACCAGACGGCTAGTGGGCAGCATAAGGAGGGCACGCAGTCTGCAAGAGGAACGTCTGTTTAGCTAGCACCGATCCATCAGGTAGGAAGCACCGTGTTTCAGAGCACGGGCAAGTTTATTAGGCGAAAATTCCGATGACCTCCGCACCGGAGCATCCGGAACAGAACGGTCTGTTTCATGTGCCGGCAATCGTGCTTCACATAGCGTAATCATGCGACCTAACCCTTTTGTATGTACCCAGTTCAGGCTAACACATGGCTTATGGTGGTCAGCGTCCATCTCCTCCAGCTCTGGAGGTTGGCTCTCCTGTAGAGCTAGTGCGGGACCCAATGAGTCATCACGGAGTGATTAGGTGGATGGGGTCTGTACCTGGGACGAGGGCGGGCACCATGGCTGGAGTGGAGCTGGTATATAGATATGAGTTATTTGCTTACCATAACCCACCTTCTGAGTTCTGCAAGAAGAGTTGTGAGATTTTAATCAGATTTTGACATAGCATAGTATGAATATTGAAAACAAACTACTCTTGGTGTATTTCCGCATTCTGCTGCTACACCCCATTGAACACAAGCCTATATACCAGATCCAATGCAGGACAGTCCAATGAGGGGACTGGGGACGGAACGTGGATGGGTCGTCACTACTTTACCTGTCGTCCTGGGAAAGCTATCTTCATTCCTGTAGCCTCTCTCAGACGTGCCCCAAGGATGCCTCAACCCACAATACTCCCCAATAGTGGACGACAGGCAGCTATATCCCCAGATATCGGTACAACAGCACACCACATTAGTGTATACTAATCTCACCTCTCCATACAGCTCTTCAGGTACAGCAGTACCAACAGAGTAAAGGATTGCCACTGGAGGACGCAGTACGTGAGGCTGGCAAGGAGATCGTTATACTCCAGGAGACTGGCAAAAACGTTGGGGGCGGGTCTTATGGTGGGGTCATCGAAGTTCAGGTCCAGGGCCGAAAGTGTGCAGCCAAGAAGCTTCATGAGACGTTCACTGGGAGAGATGTTCCACGCCGAGATAGAGCAGCAATGGTCGAGCGATTCGAGAATGAATGTCGCCGTGTCATCTACCTGAGTCACCCCAACATCGTAGAGATGATAGGTATCCACTTTGACAGGGCCACTCGACTCCCCACTCTGGTCATGGAGCTGATGAATGTCTCTCTCTACCAGCATTTAGAGAACAACCCCAAACCCTCTTCCGTCCCACTCTCCACAAAGTACAGCATTCTGCGTGACGTGGCCAGCGGTCTCCTCTACCTACACTCCCTCCCTCCACCCCTTGGTCCCATAATCCACAGGGACCTCACTGCCAAGAATATCCTACTGAATCTTGGTAGCAAAGTAGTCGCCAAGATTGCTGACTTGGGCCAGGCAAAGACTGATCCAGTGTATGCCACTAGGCGGCAAATGCTCAGCATGAGCCCAGGAAACCAGCTACATATGCCTCCCGAAGCCAGGGTAGAAGACCCGGTCTATAATGCCTCGCTCGATGTCTTCTCGTTTGGAGTTGTCGTACTTCACACCCTCACACACGAATGGCCCGATCCAGATAAAGGGTCATCTGGAGGTAGACAGAAGAAGGCTTCATCTTGACAAGATTGCCGGCGACCCTCTGAAGCCATTAGTCGCTCAATGCCTTAGCCAAGAGCCTCGGAAAAGGCCGACTACCGGTGAGGTTTACCATTTTGTAGAGCAGCAGTATTCTGCTGTAAAGGCCGAGGGAAGCAAGAGAGAGGAGAGCCGGATTTTGCAGAGGAAGGAACATGTCTACGACACAGTGGGCCAATTTGGTGGATCACAAGGTACGGCAAATATTTGCACACTGCTGTTCCATCAAATGTAGCCTATGCAGGCCATCACAGGGCCAATCCTGTTGACAGTCACAGGGCCTATGCTCCCATGGTCCATGCTGATTCTGTTGGCGACTTGTTGGCTCTCCTGTACAGCTAATGGCAGACCCCAGTCGTCACGGAGTGATCAGATGGCTGGGGACTCTACCAGAGACACGGGGTACCATTGCCGGAGTGGAGCTGGTTGGTTACTGGACCATACTGATGTGTTTGAATGTTACTGCTCTCCACTTAGGATGGTCCAATGGAGGGGTGTGGGGATGGGGAGTGGAATGGCTGACCGTTACTTTACCTGTCTCCCCAGGAGAGCCTTCTTCTGTCCTGTCACCTCTGTCATACTTGACACAAGTCAAGTCCCGCACCCTCCTCAACATGGAGAACTCACGGATCACAACCGTACGTGGTTATAGATCGTACTTCAGTTGCCCTTAACTTGTTGTTTTAAACAGCACTTGGTGCCCGTACCTGACTGGGAAACTGAGGACCAACAATTTCTGGAGACCAGATTCTCAAGTACATAGGAGATGAGAGAGGGATCCAGGGACACCGGAACTCCTGCTATATTGATGCCACCCTCTTTGGCCTGTTTGCTCTCAGTGATGTCTTTGACTCTGTCGTCCTCGACAGGCCTTTCACTTACCTCTCTCATGTCACCAACTCCAGCAACTCTAATCCAGAAGGAGATTGGTGACATGCTATGGAAAGGCATTGTGAACCCTCTCAGGAAGTCAGTATACAGTTCTGTGTCTAATTCTTCCATATAGTCTACCTCCTGTTAGGAATGGAGCAGTGAAGTTTGAGTCAGTAATGAGACTGAGAAACAAACTGGAGGAAGTGGGGAAGATGGAACGAGTCAACACTAGGGAGAATGGTGGGTCAGGAAGAGGGAAGGAAGGAAAGAAGGTGTACTGACTATTGTCTCTGCAGATCCCGAGGAGTTCCTGAACATCCTCTTAAAACACGCACTACGTGTGGAACCATTCATCCGCATCAAGTACGTGCATTGGTGCTATAATTAAAATCATCGCCTCATCTTCCTCCAGACGGCCGTATGGAACGGAGCCTGAGTTCTTTGTACAGCTGTTTCGTAGAGTTTGATAAATCGATCAAAGTCCCAACAATTTGGAAACTTCTCGCAAAAATGTTTAGAGAACAGCAGATATCTTTTGCTGAAGTGAGACTATCCTCTTCTCTTAGTTTCTTCACCACCTATACATATTGACTACAGGTTCCGACGAAGCTCCTGGTTCAGGTTCCAAGATATGGGAAGCAGTTTCAGACCTATAAACGGGTCGTTCCTGAAATACAGTTTGACCTTGCCCCCCTCATGTGTACTCCCGGTTAGTGATTAGTGCTTCTACGTAATGATACAGTTTTATCTCCTCACAGCAACTTGTTTTAATTGCGGTGAAGCAGCGTGTATCATCTGTGGCGATTGCAGAAGGGATTACAACGCAGGGGAGACTGTACATTTCTGTGATCAATGCAGTGCCATAGTACACAGGAACCCAAATCGCGCGGGCCACAACCCAGAGAGGGAAGAACAGTTTCCAGAGTTGGAGCTACTGTCAGTGCTTTGCATTGAGACCAGTCACTACGTGTGTTTCTCCCGAGACAACGAGGGAAGATGGGTCTTCTTTGATAGCATGGCCGACCGTGTCTGTGAGTTACCCCTGCTTAACAAACCACTAATTACCTCACCCCTCCCTCCGCTTCTTACCAGATGACCAGTTCAACATTCCCCGAGGAGTGGAGTGCACAGCCCAGCTGAACGAGTGGGTGTATGAGGGAGACCAGGAGAGGCTGATGGCTGCTGGACCAAGGGACCTCCCTGAACTGGTCCGCAGGTTCACTCAAGACGTCTACATGTGTATATACATCCAGCCTGACTATGGAGTGTATGGATGAAACTGACTTTTTTAAAACTGACTTCTTAATAAAATGTTGAGCTTTAACAAGTTAGATATTTGCACCAGAGTTGTATGTGACGCAGTGTCAAATTATAGCTGTTCTGTGCAAGTTTCAAATCAGTGAAAAGTAGAACACCACCATGGGGGTACATAGGTCAGTCGTGAGGGGAGTCTGTGTGGGACGGTATGCCAGTACAGACTTGATAGTAGGGCTATAACAGCTAGTGATAAAGGCAATCTCCTCGGGTTATTACAGGGGAAGAACTCCTGAGATGGATGACTACTAGAAGATGTGCTAGAAAAATCTGTACATACATTTCCCATTGTTGTGAGTGAGGGGCTTTCTTGCTGCATTACCTATAGCTATAGCTTACGCTGGGAAACAGTGTGTGATGAGTGTGGTAAGTGAGTCAACATGAGAGGACGACGTACACTATTGTCTTTCAGTTTCTGCATTCTTGCCTAATCACAGAGAATGTTGTAGTATCCACGGTATGAGTATTCACCTCCAACCACACATGACCAATGAATACCGCAAATAATGGGTGTGGTAAAGGTCAGAGTGCATAAAACAGGGGAATCCACCTGATCGTGACCAGTTTATTATCTTAAGATAAGCCCTTGCTGATAGTACTCTTGCCCGTAGTATTACACAGAGGATCATGCAGGTAAGAATTATAGAAGAGAGTACAATGATATGACACTAAAACATCACTGGTAGCCCACTGTAGGCCCTGGACAAGTGTTCATACTACTGAGTGACAAGGATGAGGCAGCAGAGATGACAGATATGTTGGCCAGGTCTCTACCACAGCAGTTGCACACCTCCACTGTCAAGGTTCTAAAGGGGGAACTTGTAGCTCCCATTCCTCCCGGAGATATTGTCCCCCGCAGTGACGGCCAGCCTCCGTACAACTATCGCACACTCACAAGAGAAGACCCAGCAACTTTCAACACGAATGACAGCGATCGGGATCTAGCCCCACTCACTCCGGATGAATTTGACGTGCTGGCTGGGGTCAGCGCACCGTCAGCTCGCTACAGGATCTTCACAAATGACTTGCTAGAGTGGGGGGCCAAGTTGAAGGAGCGAGACAAGGTTCTAGTGGAGCTACCACAACAGATCAGAGCTGCTTCTACTCGTGAGGCCAGCCCAAAAGTGCATGCAGAGATCAGATATGTTGGACTTGTGAAGACTCTGCCAGGAATCACATTTGGTGTGGAGATCAAGGTACATAGCTGCCAGACTAAAAGGCAACATACATACATACACCGTGCAACTTAATAATACATGGTCTGTATTTAATAGACGCGCGTGCGAAATGTAGCATGGTTTGACCATCCTACCCATACGTTTGAGGTTGCATGCGACTTGTTTCACGCTACAACGTTGTGAATGTTAGCCCTAATGCACATCTTTATTGTTTTGTCTGTGTACATTCAGGACAAGAAATACTTTGGTAAGGGGACATCATATGGCAAGTTCCAAGACGAGACATACTTTCTCTGCAAGAAAGGGAACGGACTTTTCGTGTCGCTGGATAAACTGTTTCCCTGCCATCCACAGGGCATTAGTGTCACACAGCCTTCTTCCCATCATTCCATGCCACCAGTGGAAGGCATAGGCCAGCAAGGTCACACTCAGCCTCGTTCTAACTCTCAACGCCACCAGGATAATGTGATAGAAGTCACAAACGTTTCAGCTGCCCCGGCCACATTGGAGGTCGGCTCCTCTGTTGAGCTTCTGGGGAACCCAGGTCGTCACGGAGTGATCAGGTGGATGGGGACTCTACCAGGGGTACGGGGTACAATTGCTGGAGTGGAGCTGGTTGGTTCTGTTGTACTGTGTTTCTTGTACAATACGTTTTTCTCTCGACTCAGGATGGTCCAATGGAGGGGTGTGGGGATGGGGAGTGGAGTGGTCGTCGTTACTTTACCTGTCTCCCCGGGAGAGCCTTCTTCTGTCCTGCCTCCTCTCTCAGGGCTGACCTTCACACATCCCATTCCAGACTCAAAGCTAGATCCTCAGAAAATTGTAACAAAACCTATATAGATTTAGCACCCATGATATCACTCCTGTGTCTGTCCTTCTATGAAGGTGGTGGTGGTTTGAGCAACATGCTAGTCTTCACTCCTCATATGCTCCACCGAGGTATCCCTGCTAATATCCTGGGGGCAATGCAAGATCATGAAAGCATGCACCGACTTTCAAAGATCGGACGAACCTACCCTAAACTGACAGTCGTTCCTGCTGAGAAGGCTAAACCGCATTATGTCAACATTACACAAGGTCCTCATGGTCTTAGAGTAGCACACAGGGAGCCCACAGTCTCCAACATACCCCAGGGAATAAGCTATTGTCCAGGAGATTCTAAAATGGTACCAGCAACCAGCACTGCACATCGGCAACTGAGCTATCCAACTAACCAAACCTGTCCTAGTCAGCAGCAGTTTGTTCCGCAGATCCCACCATTTGGTCAAGTTCCTGGCCCTCCCCAGGGTACAAATTGCGGTCAATTTCAGTCAAATAACATACCTCAAAATTCACAGTCCACATTAATGGCCACGTCTCAGGCAGACCCACAGCCTCCAGCTGCAAACCATCGACAACTCCATAACAGTATCCCTCAGCTCCAGAATCAGTGGCCACAGCACCAGCACTCCTACATAGGTCACCAAGAGTCTGCTCTTCATCCCTCTGGTTGTGGATGGGACGGTAGGCGAGCTAACAATCCCACCGTCTTCCAGAATGTTCCTGAACCTACACCCACTGTCTACCCTACAACTACTGTCTTCCCGAATGTTCCTAACCACTTGTCCAGTGCAGAACCTACATCTTCAAACTCTACACTGTTCCAGAACATCCCTCCCACCACCTCCTGTATTTCGGGCTGGGACGGAGCTCGTGCTGATCCCAAAAATCCCACCGTCTTCCAGAACTATCCCTGCCAACACTCTGCTGGGGATGTAGAACCCACAACACCTACTCTGACTCCCAGCAAAACCTTCAGCAAGGTTGCCCCAACACCAGCAGACTCAGCTCACACAGAGAGAGTTGAAAACGGATGGATGTCCACTGAATCAGCATGTCAGGCATCTCCCTATAACAGTCGACATTCCCTCATACTTAACCTCCCTCCACCTATTATAACTGACTTCACCAGTTTTGGGACTGATGCATTCACAAGGATCCCAGGTGGACAGTCAGACGTTACCGATTCTGCAAGTGGATTTTATAGTCTACTCTCTGACACTGACCAACAAGGACTTGGGAACCTCCAAACTGCTCACTATGAGGAATCCCACCAAACGACCATGGCTAGCTCTTCTCCTGAGAATGGCTCTAGTGTGGACCTCTATGGCAGTGACCGGAATTTGCCCACAACTCCAACAAACAGTCTCCAGTCTTTACAACTCGGTCTGGACCGAGACATCTCTCCAACGGCCCATAGGCACACAGGCTTATCTTCTGAAAATGGCTCTAGTGTTGATCTATACGCCAGCCCTCATTCGCCCACTTCTCCAACAAATGGTATCGAGTCGGTACAACCATTTCTAGACACAAACAACCCTCCAGTGGACATGAACCGACAAATTTCAAGCTTATCTTCTGAAAACGGCTCTAGTGTTGATCTCTACGGCAGTCCCTCCTTCGCCCTTAACTCCAAGTAATAGCCTCCAGTCATTACAACCATTTCTAGACACAAACAACCCTCCAGTGAACACCAGCAGACAAAGAAGCTTTTCTTCTGAAAACGGCTCTAGTGTTGATCTCTACGGCAGTCCTCCTTCGCCCTTAACTCCAAGTAATAGCCTCCAGTCATTACAACCATTTCTAGACACAAACAACCCTCCAGTGAACACCAGCAGACAAAGAAGCTTTTCTTCTGAAAACGGCTCTAGTGTCGATCTCTACGGATGTGGCCCAAATTCGCCGACAACTCCAATTAAGGATCATCCGTCACTTCCAACTGTAGATCGAGATGAGGGAGAGGAGGATGATATCTATAGTAGCGGTCGTCTTCTACCAACACAGGAGGAACTCTCTTCTCAAGCCAAAGCCACAGTTTCTACAGATGGTCAACCGCAGCAACAGCCTATTAAACAGGGACACTTGCTCCAATGAACCACTGGTGCGGGACACCTGTAGTCCTGGAGGATGTGGTAAGATGGAACACTCTTGGATCTGTCAGTACTGCGCCCAGCTCAACGTCAGTACTGTAAACCCAGACCACCTCCCTTAGTGTGTAGCTTGCAAGAAACCAAAACTTTTTGTGCCTCATAATCAGCTATTCATCATACTAGAAGGAAGAGTGAAGCAAGCAGTTGGTTTTTTCTTGCGTTTCACACGTATTTAGAATAACATAAAACATTACAGTATGTGCACTGCCCGACAGGTTGTATGTTACACAAACACATGTACACAAAGACATGGCTGCAGTTTGCGTTTCCTCTCTATCTGTGGATTCTAGCCGGAGCGATAATACTAGCATGCAGATACTCTTACTCTGTTGAGCAGATGTGCAATGTCTCCATCATCGCTCTGGAGTTCTGTGTGGAGAATGTCGGAATACCTACAGCCTTGCCATTGGCAGTTCAAACTGCCTCGCCGACTGTTCTAACAGATACCTCTCCCTTTTAGCAGTCTTTGCCTTGGCAGGAGTCCTGCTTGTGCTTGCCATCAAGTATCTCAACCTGACGGTAACTCAGGGACTCATCAGCGGTCTCGTTTTGTATGCTAACATTGTCCAGACAAACAAAGCAGTGCTTCTATCATCTAATGGGCTGGGAGTGAGAGCCTTTGCTACAGTCATTGCCTGGTTCAACTTGGACTTTGGAATTGAGACCTGTTTTTCTGAATCATTGGACATATTCCACATTCAGACGACTAGGTGGGCTTACTTCACTCACCAATTATCAACACATAGCAACGTTCACTGGGCAGTGCAAGAAATTCTAATAAAGTGTACACCTCCCTCACTTGACTGTTACAAGAATAATGTGTGTAGCTACATATAAGACAAGTACACTCATTGTCGTTAATTTATTGCAGGCCGAGGGGAAAACCTCAGGCCCTCCAAAAAATTTAGGATAGATTTCTAAGGAACATCCAAGCTCCGACCACAAATGAACTCAGATCTTTTATACCCCAGATGTGCAGCAGTAGCTGTGGTAAAGAGTCATGAATCTCATACCTCATAACCCACCTGCAAATCTGCTGGTCATTCCTCTTACCATGTGTTTTTAGTAACCAGTACGACTCGAAACAAGGCAATAAAGCTGCTGATCCCATTAGTTAGTATTGCTTTTTGGTCGACTTGGTGGTAACACAGATAGACAGACAGACACATAACCAAGTTCTCGCTGTGCATGTGTGCCAAGGGTTGCAACAAGTCAATAAAGAATCGCTGTGACTACGTCATCATTGGTGAGCAAAGATTACATGTATATCCGTGGGCAGACACAACATTTTGTTTCACGTTTTCGCAATTGTAAAGAGTAGCTTAGCTGACTCTGACTTAGCCGACTAAATCCGTGTTCCCAATAATCCATGTTCACATTACATCATCATAAAAAAAACCTGGGCCCCACGTTACATCATGAATCTGCTCTGATGAACTTGTGTCGACCGGCCGTTCAATATCATAAGTAAAAAGCCTGGGCCCCAGGGACATTACTTTGAACTAGCCCCACATTACATCATCATTACATCATTGAACAAGTCCCACATTACGTCATAATTACAACTCACTCTGATCAACCTGAGCCGCCACTACTCTGGTGTTGTAGTATTCAGGGAGCATCTGCTCACAGATGGCAGAGAGGAGCCAGAAGGCCTGCTGCTCATTGGCGTGGAGGAGGAGCACCGAGGTAATGATATTCATTGCCTGGCAGTAGCCTGCAGTGAGGATGAGGGCAGGTATAGTGTTCTACAGTGGATGAGGGCACGTATAGTGTTCTACAGTGGATCACCTATAATCGGCACACCAGTGGGACAGATCTCGCTGTGCGAACGAGGTTGTATTTCTCTGCCAACGTCTGAAAAGCTTATAAACAATAGAATTGTGACTTGAAGAAAAAAAAACAAGATAAAAAAGGGAAAAAATCAAAAAATAAACAATCAAAAAGACAAAATTGCAAAAAAAAAAAATAAAAATTAAAATTGGTAAAAAAACACATCAAAAAAACACAAAAAAATCAGAAAAAAAAAAAATTAATTGAAACAATTGTATTAAAAAAAAAAAACCAAAAGAATATAAAAAAATAAAAACATTAAAAAAAAAAAAAAAAATAAAAAAACAAAAAAAAAAAAAATTAAATTGGGCCATTATTGGTCCCAACATAAAAAAGAGCGGGCTGTCTTCCCC